ATTTCCTAGAAGTGGAAGCTGAGATTCACAGAGGTTAATCTCAGCTTACCCAGAGATGCAGACCTGGATTTGAACCCAACTCTGCCAAAGTCTGATGCCATGCCCAGGACCCCTCCCAGCTAAATCCAAAGAGGAAAAGTCCACCAGACCCTTACTAGACTATATGCCCCTGGAGGTCAGGCGTTATAACAATGACAATGATTTTTTTTTTAATAAATAAATAAAATTCAGTCACTAGTGGAGACAGTGTGCCAAATACAAGTGTCACCAATTCCTGTATGTCTTTGATCAACTAGGTTGCTTATCCTCTCTGAGTCTCAATTTTACCATCAATAATTGAGCTTTCTTAGGCCTTATAAGGTTATAGCTGTTCTGAGGATTCATTGCAATAATGCAGATAAAAAGCTTAGCTTAGCACCTGGCATGTAGTAGGTGCTCAAGAAAACAGCCAATATCATTTACTCACTCAGCCACTAGTTTTTGAAAACCTAGGAACTAGGACTACAGCAATGAAGGAATACAGAAATTGTTCTTACTTTAATGATTTCCTAGTCTCTGTGTTCCTAGGATTCAGCACATTATTGGCTTAATAAATGTTGAAATGAATGCATAAAGGAACAAATGAGTGAATAAATGGAGAGATATACTGCAGCAAGTCAGTCCCTGGCTACAGTTTCAGGGAGAGTAAGAGGGAGAAAACGGTGTTTTAAAAAGTAATAGTTAATACTTTGGGGCATTCACAAACTATCAGTACTCAACTAAATGTTTTTTGTATTCTCAGTTTATCCTCACCTGTAAGGTAAAGAGTGTTACTTGATTTCACAGAGAAGAAAATAATCTCTGTGAGGCCCTGGCTGGTGTGGCTCGCTGGGTTGAGTGCCGGCCTGCAAACCAAAGGGTCACCGATTCGATTCCCAGTCAGGGCACATACCTGGGTTGCGGGCCAGGTCCCCAACGGAGCATGTGAGAGGCAACCAGACATTGATGTTTCTCTTCCTCTCTTTCTGGTTTCCTTCCCCGCTCTCTAAAACTAAATAAGTAAAATCTTAAAAAAAAAAAAAAAATCTCTGTGAGGTAGAGTGACTTACCTAAGGCCGCACAGTAAGTGCAGAAGCTGGTTTTAGGCCCTACCAGCTCCAAAGCTTGGATTTGGACTCTTGCTCCTTGAAGCAGTGGGTTGGAGGGCCCTGCTGGGGCGTCTTCACCATCCGCCTCCCACCACTGGATGGTTGGCCAGAGCCCTTGGCACACAGAACCTCACCAGAATGGCCTCTACCTACACCAGTAGTAATGGGAAATGTGCTCCTCTCAGCTTCCAGAGCAAGTTCACTTCCGCTTGCTCATGTGCCGAGCCTCGCATTTGATTGTTTTTCACAACAGTCCTTGGAACATAGTATTAACTGCCCATTTCACAGACCGGGAACTGCGGCTCAGAAGGTTGGCTTCACAAGGTCGGGTGGGCCAGGCCCTGGGGTATGGCGGGACCTGCTGCCCTCTGGTGCTTCCCTGCCTCCAAGCTTAACCTCTGCCAGTCATCGCCCCGTTCCTCCCCACTCTCATGTCCCCCTCCCTGCCCCGTTCTCCTGGCCAGAGTTACTATAGGCCTACGCCTGAGTAAGGTGAACTAAGAGGGACCTCTGGGGACCCTGCCTGGAGTGGTGCCTGGAAGGTCACAGTTCACCCAGGATGGGATTTGATCTGTTCACAACTTTTCTTAATCTGGTTTTTGGAGGTGATTTAGAAAGAGGGTCTCCCCCAAATTCACTGTCAAGGGCTCATTTCCCCTGGATGTAGTTTTTACCTTAGGGGTCTCAGCGGGACACATGGGAACACGCAAAGAATTTGCTGGAAGAGGGTTTAATGAAGGGACTATTCACAGAGATGTGGGCAGGAATGGTGAAGCACCCTGGGGCTCTCAACAATGGAATGAAATCACTCTCCTCCATTGGCCCAAAGGGTCAAAGGGATGGAGCCTTGTTAATGAATCTGGAGAGAGATGTATCCATGTGTGCAGACCTACTGACATGAACTGCAGCTTTTGGGGGGAGGTGCCAACATCCCATGGGAAGGTGGGTATTATAAATATCTTGATCTCGCTCTCCTACTTCCCTCTGATCTCCTAGCAGTGCCTCCTATGGCCAAACTTCTCCTGAAAGCAGAAGGCAACATGGCCCAGGGGACACAGTCCACAGGAGTCAGCTCCGGGACGCAATCCACGGCAGGCTGGAGAATCTTGGCCCAGGGCTTCTCTCCCTGGACTTCACTTTGTGGAAGGGCTGAGAGATAGTGGGTGTGCTTGTCTTTCAAAGCAATCTGTGCCTGTTGCAGAACATCCATTCTCATCTTTCCAGGCCCAGGTGACTTTGTCCACGGGACTGCTTCAGTCCTGGAGTCTCCCCCGTCCCTGGCTTCCCTGGGTCTCAGTGCCTAGCACACCGCTCAGCTCGGTGACCTGGCATTATTCTCTGCATGGGTTCATCTCCTCAGGAGACAGTTCTAGCATCCTCTACCCTGTGAGCTCTTTGCAGGCTGGGGTCTGGGCCAAGTAAAGCCATTTGTTCTGCCACTGGGTCTGGCACAGACTAAGTACCAACGTTTGCCAAGCGAGCTGAATCCTACAGCCTCATCACCTCACTCTGCTTTGGTATGCACAATTTGGGCACACGAGTATGTCCGTTTCCCTGAGTACACTGGGACTCCTTGGCAGTGAGTGGCCCAGGCTTGGCACACAGCAAGCGTGAAGTGTTACCTGAATTGGCCCAGGTGGAACCATCCTTCTTTCCTTCCTTCATTCAACATTTTCATTTTTTATTTATTTTTTATTTGTATTTTTGAGATCCTACTATATGCTAAGCCCCTGTGCTGGGCTGTGGGAACATAGCGGTAAACAAGACCCACAAAATCCCTGCCCTCATGGGTCTTCCATTCTAGTGGGGGAAGCAAAGGAAGGAATTGAAAAGAAACAATACGATTGCAGATCGTAATCAGTGCTGTACAGAAAATATACACAGTGACAAGATAAAAGTAAGTAGGTGGACATTCATGCAGGAGAGGGAACATGTCAGGGAAGGCCTTTTTGAGGAGATGACACATAAACTGAGACCGAAGGAAGAGTAGAAACTGGGCTGTGAAGAGCTGGAAAGGGTGTTCTAGGTAGAGGGAACAGCAAGAACAATGGCCTAGAGGTGGAGGAGTTTCTGGGAGCCCAGGGATTCAAGGTTTCAGCCTAAAAAAGGGCTTGGGTGGGGAGACTAGGAGGGATGAAGGAATTCACTCTTGGGGTCTGCCCCAAGCCAGCTCCTGAGCTAGGGGTTTGGAGGGGAAGGGATGACCTTCTTAATGCCACCCTTGCAGCCTGTTGCCTAGCACCAACAGCAAACAGTGCTGCTGGCAGCCCTTACCCTCGCTCGCTCCCTGCACGCCCCCCTGACTGGCAGCAGCTGTCAAATGACCGGCAGCTGAGGCTTTGCCAACCTCCTCCCCTAGAATATTTCAGGGGTAAGTCAGTAAATGACCAGCAGCCTCCAAAACCCAAGTTTTTCTTGTGCATACCTTACAAGGGTGTATTTGACTGCCCTGGGTGTTAATCTCCCACCCCCTTGCATTAGACAAAGAGATATAAATATACAGCCACAGGCAGCACACTCCGATACGTGAATTAATGAACACAGACGCAGGCCTCACACACACAGGAGATACTCCTCACATCTGCTTGGAAGCACCCATCCACACACACACATCAGCCCCCAATCACTCAGACACACAACCACACGCAAGACTACATACACGCCCCACAAACACAGTCACAACAGTTGGCTACACACACAGATACTCCACAACCAGCATGAGCACCACACACATAATCACTCACCCCAGGATTATACAATCACACATCAACATACCCACACACAGACATGTACCCCGCAGTCATCAGTCACACATGGGCACGCAGTCCTCCCGTCTCCTGCTCTGCACAACACACACACACAAGCAGGTGATGTTCATACAGCCAGCAGTGGGCAGATTGATGCCATGCACAAGCCACACACATTCAACACCTGGGCACGGTTACCCCGCCCCCACACCCAGCTCAAGGCCTCTCTGATTAAACACCCTCTGCCGGTTCTAGTGCACAGCATTCTTCTGCGATTGAGTCAAAGGCCTCCCCAGACAGAGGGGCTAAGTGGAAAAAAGGCATCAGAAGGGGGAATGCTGAGGCCCAGGTCTGGGATGGCCCCGCAGCTTCTCTTTCCGGGAGAAAGACGTCATTGTTGGAAGTTTGACCCCGACACTGGTGGGCTAAAGGCGTGGGGGAGGGGCTTGCCTTGGAGTGGCCAGAAGCAGGGCTGGGTGGGGGTGACAGGAGGAGCAAGCGAGAGACCCCAGGAAACCTCGCAGCCTAGGGATGAAAGCTGTTAAATATGGATTCAACCTTACAGGCTTAAGCCCCTCCAACGCCGTCTTTCCCTAACCCCGGCCACAGTCTCCCAGGGTCCCCGCTGTCCCGAAACGTTCGGGGTGCGGTTGTTAGCCTCCTCCACCAGCCGCTCGGGACAGCTGCGGCCAGGAGCCTCCCCCCTTAGCGGGTGGGGACCACAAAGCGCCCGACCGCTGCCGACATCCTCAAACGGACAGGGGTGCTGGGTCCCTCTCCATCCCCGACCCCAGACCCTGACCCCCGCCCCGGGAAAGTGCTCTCCTGGGATTGCAGACCCATCCTCCTTTCCTGACCCCACCCTCCCCCCAGCAACTGGGACCCTTGGAAGGGAAGGGTGGAGAGAAAGAAGGTTCGGGAAGATCTTGAGTCTGGCTAGTTTCGGAGACGGCAATAACCAACCCCCCACCCGCACCACACCCCACTCCACCCCCATCCTAGGCTGGTCTCGGGAGGGGCGGCCTCTCCCCGCCCCCCGGCCGCGCGGCCGGCTCCCTCCTCCCGCGGGCAGGAGCCGGGGCCAAGTGGGCGCGCCCGCCCGGGGCCGGGATCCGGTGTCGGCTGCAGCTGTCAGTGCGGCGGGCGCGGAGCAGGCGGCCGGCGGGGCCGCCTATTAATAACGCGGCCACCCAGCCTGGGGTCGCGCAGCCATGGCCAGCCCGGAGCCCCGGCGCGGCGGGGACGGCGCCGCCCAGGCCGCGAGGTAGGACAGTCCAGGGCCCGCGGGGCCTCCCCTGTGGGGCGCGGGGGGCGGGGGTACTGGAGGGAGTCCCTTCCCCCACACACCAGCACCTTTCGCCCGGCAGGGTAGTGGTCCCCCGGGATGCGGCGCGGGGCGGAGGCACCGAGCCAGGGGCGATGGAGGACCCCGCCCGGGGGCCTGGCACCTCCGTTTGTCAGTGGCTTTTTATAATAGCTCCACTCCCACGGGCCGTGTGAGAATCAAGCCTTTCGACTGTCAGATGCCGTTTGGCCCATAGTGGCCAAAGAAGTTACTTGTTCCTTTCAGCCCTCACCCCAAAGACAACTGGAGATGGAGGCCTCCGGTTGCTGAATTCACTGTGTGGGAGACACTTGGTGCAAGGCTGGGCATCTGCCAGCTTGGAGTTAAAAGTCTGCTCAGGCAGCTTGTTCTCTGCTGTCTGGGGCCTGGAAAGGGGGGCAGAGGCTGCTGTCCCAGACCAGCAGGGGGCTCTGGAGTGGAGGCCCTCCTGTATCCATCCCTGCTGTCAGTTTGCCACTGGTTAGGGGGAAGGGACCTGTGGCAAGTAGGAAGTATTTCTGCCCCAGGTCAGACTGTAGCCCTAGACTTCCCAACGTACCAAGAGGCGAAGGTGCAAATACACGCACCAGACACCCCTTCTCTGCACACACGGCACAAAGCTGAGCATAGTCTTCCACATACACGCACCTGTACTGCCATGTGTACACCCAGGTATACAGTCAGGCACACATCAACTCATGCCTGCACAGTGTCACAAACACTTCCAGCCACAGCCCTGATAGACGGAGTTGGGAGCTGCTGGAGTCCTCTAGGGACAGGGACAGAGTGGCAGAGGCAGGCTGTTTGGGGACCAAGGAAGCCTGAGGTCAAGGGCCCCAGCTGAGCTGGCTCCCTTGCCTGTGGAACTCCTATAGTCTCCTTTCCCCCCAGCTCCTTAGAGAGAGGCGGCTGTGTGAAGGCAGCCTCTAGCAGAGGCCTGGCACTGGGTGGGATGACTGGGACAACATGGTGTGTGGAAACAGCACCACCTGGAAGTCAGGAGGCCTGGGTTCTACTTCCAGCTTTGCCACTTGACCTTGGGCAAGTTTCCTCCTTGGATCTCAGTCGGTTTCTGCCTGCCTTCCTTCTACAGGGCCCCACCCTGGGATCCAGAGAGAATGAGAACTACACTCATCTTTAAGACATGGACTATCAGGGGAGACAAGCACATGCATGCACTTCTATAATACAAAATACTAACTGCAAAGATGAGCTGCATACAAAGTGCTTTGAAAATGCAAGAATGGGGAGATGGACTTCTGCAGGGCTTGAGTGATGAATAGAAATTTGTTGTGCAAATAGATACTAATACACTTTGAGTGCTAAGAGCCAAACTCTGGAGTACCTGCCTTCATTGTTTTACCTCTTTTAGGCCTTATACCTATTCTAAGAGGAGACTGGTCAAAAGGCGCTCTAGCTCTGGGGCAGAACCTCCAGTGAGTTCTTTACTCTGTTTATGTTTATGCTTTGGTTACCTCATCTATAAAATGGGGACAATGGATGATCATCGTATCAATGAGTATTCGTGAAGAATGCATACAGTACTGCCTCGAATACAGTTAGGACATTCCAGGGCGGAGGACTTGGCAGGAGACGGATGTGAGGTCTGCGTGCTGGGAAAGCAGGACTCTGTGGAGGATCAGGGCGGGTTCTGGCTGGCTCAGCAGGTGCATCCTTCCTGGCACTAGGAGCGCCACCTTTCCAGGGCTGTTCTCTGTCAGGTGGTATACAATGAACTGTATTTTCTTAGCTGGATCCTTTAGACATTGTGGGTTAGGAGTAGGACATGTAAAAATTATCTCATGTTCCAGATTGTCAAGAATTGGGTGGGCTCTGGGGGAGTAATGTGAGATGAGGCTTTTCAGGGCTACATCTTTAAGGGCCTTGAGTCTCCGCGAAGCAGTTGGGTGAAGTGGGGTGACAGGGTTTGCTTTATGTTAGAGTAAGCCGCAGCACTGTAGAGCGTAGGCCTGTTGAAAGGCTGGGTCAAATGTGTGGGTGAGAGATGACGGCTTGGACTAGGGCCCTGGCAGTGGATGGAGAGGGGGATGGGGACTTGAGACTTTCGGAGACAGAAGGGGCCGTTCTCGGTAAGTGGGCTGTATAGGGAAAGGAAAGAGCTGTTTATAAAGATTTCTTGCCGCAGCAACCTGGTGTATGGTGATGTGTTTCTCTGAGCCGGAGAATACAGGTGCAACAAACTCAGCGAGAATAATTTTGTTTCCTCACCCAAGGATATATTTTTACCAATTTTAGAGAGAGAGGAAGGGACAGAGAGATAGAAACGTAGATATGAGAGAGAAACATCAATTGGCTGTCTCCCATATACGTCCAGACCAGGAATCAAACCCACAACCTATGTAGTACCCTGACTGGGGACTGAACCCACAATCTCTGATATGTGGGACAACGCTCCAACCAACTGAGCCACCTGGCCAAGGCGGGAGAATAATAAGTCAGGGCAGTTGAATTTGAGATACCAAGTAACATGCAATAAAAATATCTAGGAAACACTTTCTCTCTGGTAAAGTGATGTGAATGGACTAGGTGCTGTAGAGGTTGTCTTCAGACTTTAGGTTTTGGTGTGGGCGCTGGGCTGAATGAAGCCAATGATGTCCGGGGCCTGGTAAGCCAGAATTTTGTAGTTCCCAGCAGGCCAACCTGAGAAAACAGGAAGGGGAGCCAGGGATTCCTGAAGTGTTAGAGAGGACAGGGTACAGGGTGATTTAGAGTAAAAATAATCTTTATTGGGAACTTGGAGATAAGATATAGAACTTAAAACCTGGGCACAAGTAGGTTTTTTCAAGACAGATCAATCAAATTCTTTGATATGTGGGACTTTTCTTTTATACTTTATAGTTTTAAAAAAGTGTTTCTTGAAAGCTATAGTCAAGTTTAGTCTGTTTTGTAACTGGTATACATTAAATATCTGAGTTTCCTTGAGTAATTTTCTTTATCTCCTTTAACCTCAGTTGCCTGATCTGTAAAATGGGGATAAATGTAACTATCTCAGAGAATTGGTATGAGGATTAAATGAGTTGATATACATAAGGCATTTAGAATAGGGCCTGGCACACATAAGACATAAGACCCCTAGAAGTATAATTATTTCTGTGGTATTTTATATTTTCAAGTATTTGCTCAGAGATCCAAGATAGGTAAGATGCATTTGAAACAGGAAAGACCAAAGCCCCCTGAGGGCCAAAGAAGCGGGGGAGCGTTCCTTGACAGGAGCTGACTGAGCTGGCAGGCAACAGGCAGCTGGGTTAGGGCCTCGTTTGTTAGAATTAGAGAATCTGTATTGAAGAGCCTTTACAGGCTAGAAGAATTGGTCAATTCTAACAAGATGACTGACATTTCACAGGAACAAGGGATACGGTTTAAAATCATTTGCCGTGAAAAAGCCTTAAGGATTTTAGTCAAACTCAGCATTTGTCAAGAATATGATGCAGCTGCCCTATATGCAAAGGGAATCTTGGCTGCATGAATAGGAGTTTAGTGTCCAGAGACTGACGGCCCAGAGCACACCTGCGTATTGCTCCAATACCCATTCCCAAAGGCCAGTGACAATGGGGAGCCTGGTCAGAAAGAAGTAACCTACATGACGAGAGCACTGGGAACTTTGACATGCATGGAATAATTTAAATATAAGTTGGTTCTCTTTAAGTGCTTAAAGAACTGACGTGGAAAAGAAGATATGCCTAATTTTAGAAAGGAGAATCAAAGTCCAGGTAGAAATTGCAGGAAAGAAGGTTTTACCTCAACATTAGAATTTTATGATAGGGAAACAAAGAGTGGGGGCTCAAGTACGAGATCCTGTCCTTGAAGGTGTGTAAGCAGAGACTAGACGTTGATATCATGGGTGCGTTCTCAGAGGATCTAAGCAATGGGCCATGTGGGGATAGCTCAGTGGAGGGAAGGGAGCAAACAAGTGCCCAGATGTGAGACCCGGATATCATCGAGGCCTGTGGTCTAATGGCTCCAGTCATGAACCATCCTGTGATTGTGGCTGCCCTCTCACTTCCGTCATTTCTCTTGCAGGGGAACAGGAGCAGCACCCAATTCTTCTTTTCAAGAGGAGAAGCATTCTGAATCCCTGGATGAGGTGGGGACCTTGGACCCAGAAGCTACTCTATCTTTGGAGGGGACCTTGGACTTGGAGGACATTCTCTACTTGGGGGACACAGGTGACTTCGATGACATACTGTATGTGGAAGAGACTGAGAATCCTGAGGAGACACTGCATATTGAGGAGATCAGGCAGCCAAAAGAGCTCTTGTATGTGGAAGAACCTGTGAAACCAGAGGAGACGCTCCATGCAGAGGAGACTGTGGAGCAGGAGGAGACTGTGGAGCCGGAGGAGACGTTGCCGGCGGAGGAGACTGTGGAGCCGGAGGAGACTGTGGAGCCGGAGGAGACTGTGAAGCTGGAGGAGACTGTGAAGCTGGAGGAGACATTGCCTGCGGAGGAGACTGTGGAGCCGGAGGAGACTGTGAAGCTGGAGGAGACGTTGCCTGCGGAGGAGACTGTGGAGCCGGAGGAGACTGTGAAGCTGGAGGAGACGTTGCTTGCGGAGGAGACTGTGAAGCAGGAGGAGACACTCTATGCGGAGGAGACTGTGAAGCCAGAAAAGACAAGCCCAGAACAGATGGCTTATGGGGGAGAGACGGTCACAAACGAGGAGAAACCTAACCCCGAGGAGAGCCTCGGAGCCGGGCCTAGTTCCAGCCCAGAGGAGAGCCTGAGCGTAGAGGACCTGGAATTGCTGGAGGGGCGCTTCCAGGAATGTGTCCAAGCTGTGGCCCAGCTGGAAGAAGAGAGGGATCAGCTCATTCATGAGCTCGTGCTACTCCGGGAACCAGCCCTCCAGGAGGTGCAACAAGTCCACCAGGATATCCTGGCTGCCTACAAACTGCATGCTCAAGCAGAGCTGGAGAGGGATGGGCTAAGGGAGGAGATCCGGCTGGTCAAGCAGAAGCTCTTCAAGGTGACAAAGGAATGTGTGGCCTACCAATACCAGCTGGAGTGCCGCCGGCAGGACGTGGCCCAGTTTGCCGACTTCCGGGAAGTGCTGACTGCACGGGCAGCCCAGCTCTCGGAAGAACTGGCCCAGCTCCGGGATGCCTATCAGAAGCAGAAGGAGCAGTTACGGCAACAGCTAGAAGCACCTCCAAGCCAGGGGGATGGGCACTTCCTGCAGGAGAGCCGGAGGCTCTCTGCCCAGTTTGAGAACCTCATGGCAGAGAGCCGCCAGGGCCTGGAGGAGGAGTATGAGCCTCAGCTGCTGCGGCTCCTCGAGAGGAAAGAGGCTGCTGCCAAAGCCCTGCAGAAAACGCAGGCAGAGATCCAGGAGATGAAGGAGGCTCTGAGACCCCTGCAAGCAGAGGCCCGGCAGCTCCACCTACAAAACAGGAACCTGGAGGACCAGATCACACTTGTGAGGCAAAAACGAGATGAGGAGGTGCAGCAGTACAGGGTAGGTTCATTGGACATGAAGGGAATTGCGTCTTTTAGCCTGGGGAAGGAAAACGTGGCAGGAGTCAAATGTCTTTTGGGCTGAAGGATACTGTCATATGTAGGAAGGACAATGTATTCTTTGGGGCCATTCTCTCCTGTCCTTACCGCATTCTTCATTTCGTGCATTCAGGCCTGTGCTAGGGGCTGAAAATGATCGGCACTCTTAGTTTACACTTTTACACCAATTATCTCATTTGATCCCCTCATTAATCCTCCAAGTCCCATATTTTTCTTTTTTATGGAGGAAACTGAGGCTCAGTGAGCCAGAGTAATTTGAACCCTGGTCTGACCAACCCCAAATATGTGAGTGCCCTTTCCATAGCACAATTTTCCAATTCTAAGTGAATGACACCTTACAGAGAGCGAGAGAAAACAAGGCAAGTTCAAATTCATTCATTCTTTGCCCTCCCCCCATATGCCACCACAAATCCCACTTAGCTGATCTCTGCCTTGAAGTTTTCCAGTCTTAAAAGTGGTATGAAATCTATAAATCTCTATTCCTTATTTGTGCATTTGTCACCATTTCACTTGTACTCAAATTGTGTCTGATTAAGTGTGTGCCAGTTCTAATCCCTTTATGGAAGAGTGGGATATAAATATTAGTGAATAAACAATGTCTCCCACAGGCTGTGAGCTTTTGGAAGGTAGGGAGGATGTTTTACTTATCTCTGACACTTGGGCTCAGAGTACACATCACTTAAATCTTGACTTAAGTGCTGTTGGGCACTATGAGAAGACTGCAGTGTGGTACCTTTCAGAGCAGTACTTTTGTCTTTTGACAATACTTAAACATCTTAGCCCTGGCTGGTGTGGCTCAGTGGGTTGAGTGTCAGACAGCAACCCAAGAGGTTGCTGGTTTGATTCCCAGTCAGAGCACGTGCCTGTGTTACAGTCCAAGTCCCCGGTTGGGGTGGGCAAGGGGCAACTGATTGATGTTTCTCTTTCTTTCTCCCTCCCTTCCCCTCTCTCTGAAAATAAATAAATAAAATCTTTAAAAAAAACCCAAAAACTTTAAACATCTTATGCCTTCCCAGGGATCCTGATACATCCTTAAGGCAACATGTCCTCTGTTAAAAATGGCTGCATTCACTTTACTCAAGATTTTGTCAAGCTTTCTGTAGCTTGTGTTATGAAAACGGTAGGGCATTTTCGTCATAATATTGAATGTTTTCAAACTATGCATATGTGTAGTAACCTCACCCCACCCCCCACTGCCTTTTTATTGGTTCACAATCTAGTGAAAGGGCACTTATTTTAATAGCTTATACTCAAACAGATATTACATTAACTGTAACCCAGGGTAGAAAGTAGCATGTGATTTAAGAGAGGTGCAGATAATAGCCCTATGGGAAAATGAGATTATTTTGAGCCATGAGTTAAATCAGAGAACACTTCATGGAGGAAGAGATGTTATTTGAGCTAGCTATTGACATATAGGCAAGATTTAAACCAGTGCTATCCAAAAGAAATATAATGCAAGCCACATATATCATTTAAAGTTTTCTAAAATAAATAAATAAATAAATAAATAAATAAATGATGTTTCCTAAAAGTCACATTAAAAAGTGAAGAGAAGATGAAGGTAATTTTAGTATATTTTATTTAGCCCAATATATCCAAAATGTAATTAGTAACTTGGCTACATGTGAAATGTGAAAAACTGCAAGGTAAGTTGAAGTGTAAAGGTAGGTAGGAAGATCACATTGGACTTGGAAATCAAACTAGGGAGTTTAGACTTTATTCAGTTGTCAGTTGCATCATTAAAGGTATTTAAATTAACCAATGTTATCCCAATAAATTTAATTAAAAAAATAAAAACATAAAAGTACTTAATATGATTGTCCCCCTACTTTTAGAAAAAGGACTGGTGGCAGTGTGTAAAATGGGCTAGGCACCCAGAGGCGAGGGAGATCACTTAGGAAGCTACTGTAGGTAAGAGGAAGTGATGACAGTGGGAGTAGAAGGAAGAGGGTGAGCGCAGGAGCACATGCGGAATCAATCTGGCCATCAGATGAATGGGGCAGAGAGGTGAGAAGTCAAAAAGGATGCTGGGACTGCAGGCCAGGCTAACCAGGACAGTGGTGCCATACACAGCGAATCCTCTAGATTCCATTTCTTTTATTATTATTTTTTAAGATTTTATGTATTTATTCTTAGAGAGATGGGAAGGGAGGGAGAAAGAGAAACATCAACTTGTTGCCTCTCACACCCGGGGACCTGGCCCACAGCCCAGGAATGTGCCCTGACTGTGAACCAAACGGGTGACCCTTCGGTTGACAGGCCAATGCTCAGTCCACTGAGCCACACCAGCCAGAGCTCTGGATTCATTTTTCTAATGCAGTACTCGAGTTATAGAATCTTTCTCCCCCATGATTTTCATCACTGTACTGGATTTATTCAGATTTGAGGATTGTGCAACTTCCCAAAGATCGTTCTATGAAGAACACTCTTGATGAGAGTCTCCCCCGATCCCTTTACCATAACTAAAGTAGGAGTCAAGGTATGAAGGAGCTAATTCTTTCTGAAGTGGCTTCCTAAACTGTTTGCCAAAGGTCACTTATGGCACCCGATTATTTTTTAAAGATTCTATTTATTTATTTATCTTACGAGCTTTAAATTTTTTTCTTTTCTAAGTCTATTTTATTGATTATGCTGTTACAGTTGTCCCATTTTTTTTCTCTTCCCCTTTATTCCCCTCCAGCCTGCACCACCCCTCCCCCAAGCATTCCTCCCCTTCCTTAGTTCATGTCCATGGGTTGCACATGTAAGTTCTTTGGCTTCTCCATTTCCTATACTATTCTTAACCTCTCTCTGTCTATTTTGTACTTATTATTTATGTTTCTTATTCCCTGCACCTTTTCTCTCATTCTCCCCTCTCCCCCTTGCCATTGGTAACCCTCCATGTGATCTCCATTTCTGTGATTCTGTTCCTGTTCTAGTTGATTGCTTAGTTTGTTTTTGTTTTTAGGTTCAGCTGTTGATAATTATGAGTTTGTTGTCATTTTACTATTCATAGTTTCAATCTCCTTTTTCCTAGATAAGTCCCTTTAACATTTCATATAATAAGGGCTTGGTGATGATGAACTCCTTTAGCTTTACCTTATTTGGGAAGCACTTTATCTGCCCTTCCATTCTAGATGATAGCTTTGCTGGATAGAGTAATCTTGGATGTAGGTCCTTGACTTTCATGGCTTTCAATACTTCCTTCCAGCCCCTTCTTGCCTGTAAGGTTTCTTTTGAGAATCAGCTGATAGTCTTGTGGGAACTCTTTTGTAGGTAACTGTCTCCTTTTCTCTTGCTGCTTTTGAGATCCTCTCCTTTTCTTTAATCTTGGGTAGTGTAATTATGATGTGCCTTGGTCTGTGCTTTCTTGGGTCCAACTTCTTTGGGACTTGCTGAGCTTCCTGGACTTGCATGTCTCTTTCCTTGGCCAGATTGGGGAAGTTCTCCGTTATTTTTTCAAATAAGTTTTCAATTTCTTGCTCTTCCTCTTCTCCTTCCGGCACCCCTAAAATCCGGATGTTGGAATGTTTAAAGTTGTCCCAGAGGTTCCTAAACCTCTCATTTTTTAAAATTTTTGTTTCAATTCCTTTCTGGTTGAATGCTTATCTCTTCCTTCTGTTCCCAATCATTGATTTGAGTCCCAGATTCCTTTACTGTTGGTTCCCTGTATATTTTTATTTCATCTTGCATAGCCTTCACTTTTTCCTCTATTTTGCGACTATACTCAACCATTTCTTTTTTTTTTTTTTTTTCTAATTTCAATTTACTTTATTGTGGGACAAATGAAATCCCAGGAGATCCCAAACAGGCGTGCCAGTGAAGAAGCATCCACGCTCACCTTCCCAGGGCCTCTCATTGTTTTGTTATCAGACAGGCACTGGCCTGAAGTGGGTCTGCCTCAGGCTGGCCTGCAGTGTGTAGATTCTTGATTCATGTAGGAAAGACTTCACAACCCAAGTCCAGGTGATTTTGAGAGTAGGTTTATTAAAGCTGGAAACTGAATCAAAGGAAGGCCTTAGGGTAGAAGTAACAGGAGAGTCTAGGCAGTGCTCTGCTTTGGCTCCCTGGAAGCATTGTAGGAAAGAGCCAAGACAGGGCCGCTTTTAGTTCACTGGGAAGTCAGAGAAAAAGGGGGCCTTGGAGACAGGGTTAGGGGGTAAGCCCAGGTGGAGCTGCTGCTGCCCAATGCTCCCCTGGCTGCAAGTATCGAAGGGACACTTGGAGTTTAGGAAGTAGTAAAAATGTCATTTCCAGGAGAGGGCATGAGCCTTCTCTAGAGTGAGCCTGCCTTGAGTCTTTGTCCTGAGGGCTTTTTATCTTTATTCTGCAGGTGAGAATCTTAGGGAAGGGTTTCAGCAGAATATTCATCAGCTTTCCAGGTGCATTTTTAATATGCTGATGCATCAAAATGAGCACATAGTGGGGTTTGGGAATATCCTTTGGTCTGTTCTACTGTTTTACATTTATCTTGGGTCCGTTTGGCTTTTAATGGGGCTTTTGTTATTTGTTCCCCTGACTTCATCTGTCCTTGGGTTTAGTTGGCACAAATGGCATTAATTGTATACTCAACCATTTCTGTGAGCATCCTGTTTACTAGTGTTTTGAACTCTGCATCTGATAGGTTGGCTATCTCTCCCATTGCTTAGTTCTATTTTTGGAGTTTTGATCTGTTCTTTCATTTGGGCCATATTTTTTTTTTTGTCTCCGAGTGCCTGTTAGGTTGGAAGGGGCAGAGTCTTAGGTATTCGCCAGGGCGGGGCAACCCAGGTTGCTGCGTTGTGGCACTGTAGGGGAGGGGTCCAAGAGGGAACAATGCAGCTTGCTTGGCTCTCGGCTGGCTTTCAGTCACTTCCCTCCCTACCCACAAGGAAATTGGGCCTATCTGGTACTGATTCCCAGGTGGGTGGGTTTGTGTACTTTCTACAACGCTGTGGGTCCCTCTGACAAACTCTCCTTTGAGACTGGGAGTTTCTCCTGCTGCCACAACCCTCACAGATTTTTAGAGCCAGAGGTTTTGAGGCTTTCTTTTCCTGCACTGGAACCCTGGGTTGCATGGTTTGTCTCACTCCCCAGTTGTTCCTCCTGGTTTATCTGCATGCAAATGTGGGACCACCACCAGCCGCCACTTTGCCCGGCCCTCCAGGTGCTGCCTTGCCACGCGTCCTCTCTCTCCGCCCCTACCAGTCTGGATGAATGTTTCTTCTTTAACTTCTTGATTGTCGGACTTCCATACAGTTAGATTTTCTGGCAGTTCTGGTTGTTTTTTATTTTTAAATTTGTTGTTGTCCTTTTGATTGTGTGAGGAGACAAAGTGTATCTACCTACATCATCTTGGCTGCCTACATCATCTTGGTGGAAGTCTATCTATTTATTTATTTTTAGATAGACAGGGTAGTAGAAAGGAAGAGAAACATCAATGTGTGGTTGCCTCTCCCATGCCCCCAATTGAGGGCCTAGCCCACAACCCAGGTATGTGCGCTTACTGGGAATCGAACTGGCAACCCTTTAGTTCACAGGCCAGCACTCAATCCACTGAGCCACATTAGCCAGGGTGCACCTGATTACTTTCCAAAGGTACATTTCACTTTTACAATTGTGAACACTGTCTCTTTTGTCTTCATGCAACAGATACTGTCCAAGTGCTTACTTATTTGTGCCAACAGATATTGCCTATGTGCCAGGCAGTGAGCTGTATGCTGACAAAAGAATTGAGAAATGGAGAGAGGGAGGATTTCCTGCCTTCCAACAGTTTATAGTCCAGGAGGGATACCAGATAAAACAAACATATTTCATAAAATTGAAAACACTTGATTTTTTTTTATTTTTTATTCTTCACTCAAGGATGTTTATTGACTTTAGAGAGAAGAGAAACATTGATCAGTTGCCTCCTATATGTACCCTGATCGGGGACTGAACCTGCAACCTAGGTATGTGCCCTGACTAGGAATCAAACTCATAACCTTTTGTGTATGGGATGATGCTCCAACCAACTGAGCCACCTGACCAGGGTCTAAGACACTTGATTTTAAGATCCATTCTGATCTGTTAAATTGTCAAAGCCTTATAATCAATGAAACAATAGACTTCAATGTGATAAAAACACTGTGATAGTTATAAGACATAGTACGAATGAAGCTGGTATAATTACCCCTGCCTGGGGAAACAAGGGCAAAATTTTATAAGAGGATTGATTAATAGATGGTAGGTACTTGAAGTTCTTTACATTTAATAATAATTAATTTAATGCTACCTCTATGAGATAGGTATGAACTACTGTCATCATTTGAAAAAATGAGAAAACAGGTGAGAGAGACGTTGAGTCATTTGTCCAGATTTCTACAGCTAGGAAGCAATGGAAGGATATAATCCAGTGCAATTATAGCTCAAGTCCACTGTCAACCACTATAAGCTATTTGTGTGAATGAATTCATGGGGTAGAAAAGGGAAAGGCATTCCAAGCAGAGCGAACAGCTTGTACAAAAGCATGAAAACACAAAAAGACATCTTACAGGAAGTGAGGGTGGCTGGATCATAAGGAATGTGAGTAGAACAATGAGGCTGGAGAGAGCCAAAATGTAAAGGGCTTTATCTTTAGGTAAGTGGTTTTCAAAAAGAAGTTTTTTTTCAAAACCACAGACCCTTTCCCCCAAAAAGAATTTTATGTGGCATGCTGCCCCGGCTGATGTGGCTCAGTGGATTGAGTACTGGCCTACAAACCAAAGGATCATTGGTTCAATTCCCAGTCAGGGTACATGCCTGGGTTGCAGGCCAGGTCTCCAGTAAGGGGTGTGTGAGAGGCAACCGCACGTTGATGTTTCTCTCCCTTTCTCCCTCCTGTCCCCTGTCTAAAAATAAATAAAATCTTAACAAAAAAAAAGAATTTTGTATGGAATGCCAATATATAAAACAGGCAAAAGTGGAGCTACTTCCTAATTAGAGTGGCAGGGGCACTCCATTTTGGCCTCCTCCTGCGGTATCATGGGAAAGTTTGAAGACCACTAAAGAGCCTACATATATGTGATAAAAAAAAAAAAAGAAGAAGAATGTGACCTGTAGCCCTAGCTGTGTGGCTCAGTGGATTGAGCATCAGCCTGTGAACCAAAGGGTCGCCAGTTCAATTCCAAGTCTAGGGCACGTGCCTGGGTTGCAGGCCAGGTCCCCAGCAGGGGACATGTGAGATGCAACCACACATCGATACTTCTCTCTTTCTCCCTCCCTTCCCTCTCTAAAAATAAATAAAATCTTAAAAAAATTTTTTTAAAAATGTGAATGATAAGCCAATGGCAAGTCCTGGTTCTACCACTTCCTAATTGGTAAACTTTGGACAAATTACTTAACCCATGTGGCTCTGCTCCCTCACATGTATCATACACGTAAGGCTTTTACAGGGAATGAACTGGTTAATATTTGTAAAGCACTTGCAATGGTGCCCGGCACATAGGTATGTACTCTTGAAAGTGGCAGTGTGGTGAGTGGATTGAAAAAGCCTGAAAGACAACTTAGACCTTATGAGGGGGAGATAGTGTGAGATATGTGCAGTAAAATGGGTAGGATTTGGACTGGCCACAGCGGGTGAGGTGAAGAATTTGCTGAGAATGATCTGTTTTTAACTGGAAACTGGTAGGTAGCTAATGCTGAAATATGGAATATGCTTACTATCTGCAAGTTTTACATCTACAAGCATTATGTGTAGGGTACAAAGAACAAGGCATCTGTGATCTGACTGGGAGTGAGACATGAATTTAAAAGATAGAGAATAATATAACAGCAGATGCTGTCTAGGTGGCGGAAGTGGTGGAAGCAAAGGCACAGAGATCTGAGTTGGTCAGGCTAGATCAGCACTGTCCAATACAAGTCTCATGCAAGACACAGATGTCATTTAAATTTCTAGAGGCCATGCTTAAAAAAGTGAAATTCAAATTTTATGTAACCCAGCATATAAACATATTAAATTTCAACATATAATCAATATGAAAACTTCAAGTATTTTATTTTTGTGCCAAGTCTTACAAATCTATCTTATACTTATAATACATGTGAGTTTGGATGAACCATAGTTCAAGTATTCAATACCACATGTAGCTAGTGACTTTCACACTGAACAGTGCAGGCTAGGGGAAAATGTTCATATCAAAGAGTAAGGGAGGCTCTACTTAGAAATAGGGGTTAAACTAGAGGGGGTCTGAAGGCCAGACTAAAGAAAGTGGGAAGCCTTTGAAAGACTGTGATAAAGCAGTTTTTAGAAAGTTGATCTAGTGGGTGCTACATAGGATTAATACTGGAGACTGTCCTTAATGCCACTCACTGCAGCCACATATCCTTCACCCTGTGACGCTATTCCTGTCAAAGCACTGTGGTGCAGACTGCCTTCTCAAGCATGTATGATACTTTTGCGCCTCGCCAAAATAACAGGTTTGCTAGTGGGGTTTGGGAAATTGGGGCACAGAGGTATGTGGGTACTTCCCTTCAGATGACACACTTAGACGGTAAGGCTGCATCTCTGTGTGGTGCCAAAGCCTGGCGAGGCACTAAAAAAAGGCCTTTTGATAATGTTTATTTAAGTTGAGATTCAGCCAGAGTTATTAACCACTGCAGACTGATGTGCCACAGGTAATTCAAGGATGACTCAGAGAACAAATTATTTAGATCCTTCTAGTAATAGCATGTACCCAAACCGGATTTCTATCTTACTATTCTCCAAAATTCAAGAAGTTACTGTCTCTTTATGCTTTCCCAACTCCTTCATGCTTCCTAAGGACCCATGCCAGCTAACAACTAACACTGGACTGATTTGCTGGTATCTTCCTTACCTCATTCCTCAGGCATTAGCCCTCAGCAGAGACCATTTACAGAATGCACCCTGTCTGGTGCTGGCAGAGTGGGTAATGGGCAGTTAGCTGGAAGCTCCTGGGGCCCCCTGGGCATAGCATCTTTTAGCTTTTTTAAAAAAACAAAACAAAACTCAGGCTTAATGGAAACAAACTTGCACATAGAGCAAGAGATCTATAAAATTCTCAGCTCACCAAGCAGAGGATCAAGTTCCTCCCCAACACTTCTTAAAACTGTAAACTAGAAAGTCCCTGAGTACCTGTCAACCTTGCAGGATTCTATTAAGCAAGCTGAGGTTAACAGACAAGGCTCCTTTCAGGCTACCATCTTCAGCAGAGTATCAATTTGTCACAACACAACCTCTTGAATCAGTTTCAACCTTAATACTGCTATGAAGATTAAATGATATACAAGAAAGTGCTTTGTAAACTGCTATGGACAATGTTAATATTTTTATTATTTGGCTCATCAGATACGTTCTTCACCCTCTAATGCAGGAGCAGCTGGAGAAAATGGAAGAACGAGAGAGGCAATTAAGAAGCGGGGTGCAACTCCAGCAACAGAAGAACAAAGAGATGGAGCAGCTAAGGATCAGCCTTGCTGAAGAGCTTTCAACTTATAAGTCAGTTTTTGCTGCTACCCAAATCTCAACTAACACTGGCTGAGTGGATGGTGGGGAGGGCAGATGTTGCTTGAGGGAAATTTCACTCTGTGGGGAAAAATGATGTTGAGAATGATTTCATCCATGAACAGATAAAAAATGGCTCTTTTTTTTTTAAAGGGCTATGCTACCCAAGAGCCTGGAACAGGCAGGTGGAACCGAGACACAGTCTCAAGGTGATCCTTGCAGTGCAAGAGTGGTGTTTGCTTTGCTTTCTTAACCATATTAATGCCTTAAAAGGACTTCAAGTGTGTGTCTAATGACAAAGCATTTAGGGATAACACATACCACCAATTTGCCTGGTTCAAGCATTCAAAGTTTATTTGGAAATGTTTCAGTTTCTGGTAGGACCCAGAACATGCCCTAATTATCACCAGGAATTCTGTAACTGGTAAAATATCTAAGCTCCGTGCATTCACTTTCCTCCCACCTTACCCCATCTGCTATTCATAAATAGTTTCCTTAGAATAGCAGAGAAAGCAGTTATGCTAATTCAGAATATGACAAGAGGCCAAGGCGGCTAAATTAATGTATATAAAAAAGCTGAAGAGTGTGTTTATAGCTCGAGGAACAGGATTATTGCTTAGATTATGAAACAAGCAACACACCTACTAATTTCTCTATGTACCAATATGTTCCTATTCTTCAAGTTTTAGATTCTCTTGGATAAAGAAACTACAGATAAAAAAGGTCTCTGTCGTGTTGTATACTAGTTAAATGCACATAAATTTTCTTCTTAATTTCCCAGTTAATCTTATAGCTTGGATGCAAACTCACAAATAACTATCGTAACTGATACTTTTCCTAACTTTCTAGGATTTTCTTCTACTGTGTTATAAGTGATTACACTTATTGTTTGGGAGATTACTAGAACCTTGTAATTGAGGAAAATGATCTGTTAAACACCTTCGCGTATATCAGATTAAAAAGTACAATGGGGAAAAGGCAGTAATTCAAAGAAACAAAACTACAGAATTTCAGGCACTGTAATACCTGTGTAAACCTAACTTGAACAGAGAAATATTTTAGCGAGCCCCTCCCATCACCATGACAGATTACCATTGATTGTTTTGCAAATTAGGAGGCACCCAAATATTTGGTAGGAGAAACTCATCCCTGATCATGAGTCATAGTCTAGTAATCTCTCCCCAACATAGCCTGCACTGTATTTCAGAAGTTCACCATTATAAACTTTACACTGTAATATTTCAAAAGCTACAGAAAGTATAAACTCATTCTTTTTTTTCTTTCAACCTTACAGGAGCTGTTTAGAAACATATGGCCGAATCTGTAACCAAGAAATCACCAGAAAAGCTTCTTAGCAAAAATTCACTAAGTACCCTTTGGACATACTTTTTTTCCAGAGAAGAGTGCCAGGGACTTGGCAAGCAATTCACCCTGGTAAATTTACAAATACTGGCTGACCTGTTTGAAAAGATTCTAGGGCTGGCTGGAGGCAGAACACATCCGTCAGTTCCTAGCTGGGTTCTGATTTCAATGCAGAGAGGAGCAGAGAACACGAGCCTCCTGCCCTCCAGCAGCAACACAGGCTGAGTAAAGGACCGCTGGATGCACACCTGCAGCCTCGGGAAGAATGTATCTTGCCTTGTGTTGACCTAAATCAAAAACATTTTTTGGAGCACAGGTGGGGTCAAAAGGCAGCCAGTTTTTATTATATGGGTTTACAATTTGAATTCTTTTGTGCCATGCCTTGAGTGTTAAGGCTTTAAAATGAATCCTTTTTCAAAGTTTACTCTTTAAGTCTATGCTGACCCATATAGTTTACTCTTAACTGTGTCAAGATAACTTTCATTATAAAAGAACTACTGACTTGATAAAAAGGAACTAATCCAGATTTCCCTGATGATCATACTTTAAGCCAATGATTTTTGGTCATAGTGAACTACTCAGTTAAACTGAGTGATTGCAAAGAACCAGGCATTTTAGCTGGAAAGGCTTTCAAGAGCCTATTATTTCTAACCTCTAAGTACAGGCCTCAGTGAAAAACATAATGGGGAGATTCAGCCTCTCTCTGAGAAAAGGTTCAAATACCTTTTCCAAGTTTAATTTCTGCCTTAAAATGTCTGCCTCACTGCCTTTGACATTCTTGCAAGTCCACGTAGTTCTCTAGGGATAGACTTAAGATGTTATTTTATCAAAGACTAATCTATGCACCAATGATTCAGTGTTTTATATCTTTCACTTTCCATGGGGAGAAGTAAAGCTCTTTTCTATAGCTCTGGGTCTATTATAATTAATTCTGCTCTTGATTGTCGACGATGACAGAAAGTAACTTTCATCAAAGAATTCTTCTAGACACCAGAGACTGGTGTTTGATAGATATTATATACTAAAGAAAACCCATCAACGCATGGGGTTATGTAGAAAAGCAATTTATTCCATTATAAGCACTTACACAGTTAGTCATGGAGAGTAACAGGCCTGCTGGTGAAACAGGTCACCCAAAACAGATGGTATCAAACTAGTGGTCAAGGACTAACTCCTAAAAAAAAAAAGGCAACTCTTATCCAGGATTAATTTAATTTTAAAAACAAATACAAGCTATCACTCTTCTCAACTTAACAGTCTACCTGTGGTATAACTGTCAGGTAAAAACATACATCTTTACAACTTGGTGGTCCCAAGTTTTTTTAAAAAACCATTTCACAGAAAGGAAAGAAATAATATGAAAACTGCTCAAGAAATACACTAACAAGCAAAAATATATGGGGAAAGAGGAACATGTAGTTTTGACTTAACTCAAGAAACAGAGGAAACTGGCCTACAGGGGAAAATGTGCATCCTGGAAAAGTCAGGTGTGGAGATTTTAGAGTAGCAATTTATGACTTGAATCTCCCCTAATTCCTGAATAAAACAACATCTCGCAGTACTTATACTTCATGGCTCAGACACCTATCTCACTTGGCTCTATTCCTTACTTCTAGCCTTTATTTAAATGAGTCTGAAAAACTTGGGGATATAGCATTGGAAGAAAAATAAAATAACCACACACAATAGTCCCCTTTCAGTGGCTACTTTAGATATTTGTTACTAGAAAATTCCTGAAGAAAATTTAAATATAAGTCTGTGGTTTTGCTGAATCAAGTCCCCCAGTTAATATTTAGAAAACACCCTCAGTTTGGGCTAACAGCATTGTTGATGGTACCTACTATAGAGGGATAGCTGAACAAAGTCTGGGTCTCAAAACCAGTGTTAAATCAGTATCAGGGTTGAAAGGAAAAAAGGGGAGTCTAAAATCACAAGAAGTGCAGATGTATTTAAGACCCCTGTCCTTCTGGATCCACACTTCCTTCAGGGTCTTCATCATTATAAATGTTCTCTGCCTGCCCAAAAACAAAAAAAAAGAAAGAGAGAAAAGGGGATTTAATAAACATGAATGCAAGTTCTTGAAGTTAAGGTTTCAAAACCAGATTAGACCAGGTAAACATATTATGGGCCATACAGTCTCTATTACAACTATTCAAGTCTGCAGTTGTTGGATGAAAGCAGCCTAGACAATCTGGAAATGAACAGGCATGTCTGTGCTCCAATAAAAACGGACAGCTGGCCCAGAGGCCAGCACCTCTGGATTAGGACATTCCCACAAAACTGAAGTATGGTTACTGTATGTCTTGATAATCAACCTTTAGTCCTTCAGCCAGACAGTATTCGTAACAGTTAAAAAGTAAAAACAACACTAATGTCCAATGACTGATGAATGGGTAAGTAAAATGAATGTTATATCCATACAATGGAATATTATTTGGCAATAAAAAACAAGCTAGTCACATATTGTATGATTTTATTTATAGTAAATGTCCAGAATAGGCAAATCCAGAGAGAAAGTAGACTGGTGGCTGCCTAGGGCTAGGTGGTCTGGAGGGAAATGAGGAATGAAGGCTACTGGGTACGAGTGATTATGTGGTTTCTTTTTAGCATAATCGATGGTTGTAATGGTTGCATAATTCTGTCAATATACTAAAAATCACTCAATTGTGTATTTTTTAAAAAAGAGAGAAACCCCATCAAAACTGTATGTTCCAAATCTCAATTTATAAATATTTTTAAGTGAAAACTGCTCTTGCATAAAATAAACTATACTTCTTTTTCTTCATTACCTGTATCCAAAGGCATAATGTTAAATACAGAAACCATTTTAAGAAAATTTTTTAGTTTAGCATCTACCACTCACAAATCACTAGTCTAGGCGCTGATATGGATGGGATTGACTTGTCTTTAAAGAATTTGTAATATGACTGCAGGAAAATGTGTACAATTGTGCAATGTCTTCTAACAATGAATGTGCAGTATCTTTCCCTTACACGAATTCTCTGATGCCAACTGGGTGTCCAACACGCCAACTCAATCCTGACACGAACTACTTAGAGGTAGCACCAGACTCTACAGGTTTAAGGGATGTGACTAAAGGCATGGTCCCACAAGACTGTCCTTGCTTAAGTCCTGATTAGTGTGGCTCAGTTGGTTGGGCATCATCCCGTAAAGCGAAAGGTTGCCAGTTCAATTCCTGGTCCAGGTGCATGCAAGAGGCAACCAAGTGATGTTTCTTTTACCCTCCCCCCTTACCCTCTCTCTTAAAAACAAAAAAAACAAAACAAAAAACCCCCTACTGTCCTCACTCTAGGGAGCAGTGATAAGCCCCAAGTGCCCATGCTATCGGGGTACTTCTGTCATTTGTTGGGTATAAATTTGGGGATTCCCATGACCCTCCTACTCAGGTTTGATAATTTGCTAGAATGACTCACTGAACTCAAGCTCATCAGATCAAGGGCTTTTCCAAGAGTTTTTTTTACAGCTCAATCCCATCTGCAGGTTAGTGGAACGTAAAGTTCCAACTCTTTAATCAAGTGTTTGGTCTTCTTTCTAGAGACCAAACTCATGTGGAGGCTTGTATCCAGGGGCCCCTTAAGTCACCTCCTTAGCCTAAAATCAGGTGTGGCCAAAAGTGACTCCTTATAAATAGCAAGAGACACCCTGCAATAACTATGCATGGTGTCAGGTACTGGACTTACTGGGTACTCATTTCTCAAGTCGGCAATTTTCAATCTTTTTCACCTTGTGGCACACAAAAACAAATTTACTAAAATTCTGTGGCACATCAATGTATATTTTGCCAATCTGACCAAAAAAAAAAAAAAAAAGGTATAACTTTGATTCCTTCACAACTGGACAGCTGCTGTGGTGTTGGCAGTTGCCATTTTTTAATTTGACAATCTAAGGGAAAACAGGTCCATGTCCCTGACTAGGTAGGCAGATACTGAATGTTTTAAAATTT